GCCCGACACGGGGCTGTTGAGACTTTCTGGCATGGCGGTCATGGTCATCTCTTCTCGCGGGGTCTGGGTGTGGGTCTTTTTCTCCTCTGCTTCCCTTTTGGGGGTCTCTGTGTTTCTCAGGACAGGAAGGAACCCAATTTAAGCGGAACAGGGGTTTTCACTTTCCATTCATAAGAAAATGGAGTTTGCCTCTTTGAAAAGTCTAAGCGTGATGCTGCGGAGCTCCCCAAACTCGGTTCAAAGCTTTGACTCAGCCAAGGTCATAAATATTCATGAGCTGGCGGAGCTGATTGGTCGGCTGTCTTGCATAATCACCGGGGATTGGTCCGAGATGCTCCGGCTCTGCTGGACTAGAGCTGGCGGCGCGGCCGGGCCTGGGGAGAGACGCGTCCACACTTCCCGGCCGGGGCTTCTCTGCAACAGAGCGTCGTGCGGGACGCACCATGGGCTGGGGCGTCCGCGCTGGGACCTCCGAGGCCCGCGGTTCTCCAGCCTCCCGCCTCCCTGGCGCGCTTCCCCCAGAGACCAACCAGCGACTCCCCGCCGTCGCCCTCTTCCCCTCTATCCCCACCCTTCGCCCGCCTCCAACGCTTGGGACCCGGGAGCGCTTCTTGTCGCCGTTACCCAGTCCCGTCCTGAGCTAGGGTGGCTCCAGAATCTGGCCGTAGCCTCCATCGCGAAGTTGCGCACGGGGGTGGGGGAGGTGGGGGACGCCGCCCAAGGCAGCCAACAAAACAGCGGTCGTCCAGAGCGTCCTGTGCCTAGCTCAGCGCCCTCCGGGCCGCGTCTCCCTGGCCTGAGTCCACTCTGCCACATCCCTGGGGTTGGGGCTTGGGGGCCCTCTGGACCAACTCACTCACTCGGCCGCCGCCCCGCCGCCGCCGCCGCTCCCAGGGGCCCGCTTGCATCGCTCCAGGCCCAGCCGGCCACTCCAGCTCCAGGCTGCACGGGTCTGATCAGAGCAGTGCGCGTGGAGAGCCAGGAGCCCGCGCTTCTCCTCCCAGGGAAGGCGGCCGCACCGCCTCCCTCTCCCAGCACACACCCCCTCCTTCCCTCCCAACCTTCCCGCGCCTCCCCCTCCCCTCTCCACTCCCTCTGAGCCGTGCGCCCCGGCTCACTCGCCCCGAGGGCGCGGCGCAGCGTGGAGCCAAGGGGCGGGCGGGCTCAGTGCAGCTTGGGCTGCGGACGCCTGGTGGTCATTTTCTGGCCTCCTGGGGTCTGGCGAGAGTGTCCGGCTTTTAGGAATCCTAAGGGGACACCAAAACCCGCAGCAAAACCGGGCTTGTGGGAGGCTCGAATATTTGTGTATAGATATGTGTTTGTCGCCCAGTATATTCCTCACCTCCAGTGCTCAAAGCGGGTGCGGGGGGCAGGGCTGATAGAGGCAACAGCTGCCACGGCACCTTCAATCTTCTGGGGTGCTAGGTACAGAAAAACGCACAAAAAGGTCCCCGCCCCCACACACACCCCCGGCACACCGACCACTACTAACACACATCCACCCCCTTGCGGCGTGGTGTAAACTACGCTGGCTGATAGGGCTGTTGCTTCCCTATCCCGCCAGCCCCAGGGTGAATCCCAAATTACTTTGTTAGGTAATTAGAAAGTGTTGATAATTATTTCTTTCATAATTTAGCGGTGTGACGGGAACGGGGAAATGATCTTGTGAAAGTTCACACGTGCAGATGTATTAGTTACTGATTCATTTGATTAAATGGTAGTCTCAAGTGCTCAGATCCGCAGCTGAAGGCGCCCCATTAGCATAACACTGATGTTTAATTTTCATACGCATAATTAGCCATATATTTAACACTAATAGCAACATGCAGCCTTTCAGCGTTAAACAGCCCGGGATTTGATCTGGCCTGAGCTGAACCTTCGCGGCAGCACCTTCCCCTGTCTGGAGTGTGCAATGATCACAGGACAAACCTCTGTAATCAAGCACATTTTGGCAGAGGGAACACCAATAAAAATGAGCATTCAAAACAAATTACATCGGTGCTGTCGTTACAGATATGAGTAGAAGGGGTTTCTCTCTTTTAAAACTTCTGTAGCAGCAGCTCCTGCCCGCGGAATTCCTCTTCTTTGGTTTAAGGGCATGATGCTGGGGGCAGAAATATTTCAGGCAGCATGGTTGGAGCAAAAAAGAAAAACAAGAGAGAGAGAGAAAGAGAGAGAGAGAGGAGAGGAGAGAGAGAGAAAACACCCCAAATCCAAGCCAATAACGGGTTTGCCAACGCTTAAAAGATTTTTTTTTCCTTAATCACCGAACCACACGAGGCTTTGTAGCAACAACCAACTAATGATTCCGCCACTAGACAACTCTTGGAGCCGCCAGGCTTGTCTTGATTTCCCTGTCGCATTTGTGGTTTTAATTGCTCCTTCCTAGAGCCTGTTTTGGGGTGTGGAGTCAGCACAGCCGCTCGGATGCGGCTACAGCCTGGCGTCTCTCACACGTGCCTGGCGGGCCCTGCCCACGTAAGTGATCGCTCGGCGGGCGCGGGGTCGAGGTTGGGACCGGGGAGAGCGGGACTTGTGTCTTCCAGAACTCAGGGCAAGGCGTGCTGAAACCCGATGGCCAGGCTGCCTAGGGACAGTTTATCCCTGAGAATTGCAGGATGGGGGAAGAGGAGATGAATGGCCGCAAGTCGCTACAGTCACCTAGGTGTTCTGTCCTACCAAGTCTTGAGGGGGATCGTCTATTTTCGCGGCGCAGGGGACCTGGCTAGCTCCTGGAAAAAATAAGGTTTCAGAGCCTTGCTCAATTAGAATTGAATTGCGTATAGGTGATGGCGTTCACTCCAGAATTATTTCTGAACCCAGAGAAGTAGGTGTGAGGACGCTGAGCCAGGGCCCTCCTGTGCAGTGTGTGTGGTCAGCCCTTAGCTAGTTTCTAAATGTGCGATCTTATCTGTATTCTTTGAGCTCGGCGTTGATCCCTCCCATGCCACCCCACTCCCACCTCTAAGGCGACACCTGTTCTAAAATGCCGGCTTGCTCAGAACTTTGCCTGTCCCAACTACGAGAGGAAACAATTCTCCAATTGGTCCTGAAGGTTCGTGATTCCAAGTAGAACCTGCTGGAGTCACCTCAGGACTAAGCGGCCCTTCTGCTGTTAGCCTAACCCGGGCTGGCAGCTCTGGGTTAGGTTTGAGGTCAGTTCAGCTGGCCGAGGGGCAAGGAGAGTACACTAGAGAAGGTATTTTAAAAACCTGTTTCCTAATCTCAACTTCAAAGAATGTCAAACGGAGTTTGTTCTAATTCAAGTTTGTTCCCTACAGTGCTGCTGAGTATTGGCGACTTGGGATGGATATACATACATACTCATGCGTGTGTGTGTGTGTACATACATGTCACTTTAATAAATAGGATTATATACCTTTCCATAAACACCTCCACCTTGAAATAATTGCTGTACAAGCAGCGTGTTTCCCCAGTGGTTGGTAAAATCCTATAGTCCTAATAAAACTATCCTTAGGGAACCTCAGAGTAAACTGATCCAAGATAAAGATACGGACCTAAATCGCCGCAATCCGGTTGTTCTAGGGGAGAAGTGAAGTCATTTTCTGGCAAACATCTTCCAAGGCCAGCTGGACCCTGTTTCTCTAGGTAATAGCAATTGTTCCCTAGCAGCAGCAGACCTCGCTTGGTTAACTCCAGGCACCCCAAAAGTTTACCTACGGATCTTGTAAAATCTCAACCATTCCCTCGTCTTTTCTAGCTCTCAGACCCACTAGAATCTGAATCACCTCTGTCCAAAACTCTACATTCCTGGACCAGAGAAACGGAGCTGGAGGGTTGGGGGACAACGAAGAAAGTCCTGAGTTCAGGGAAGAACTGGAGCTCACCACTTTTTCAAGACTGCCCATTGTCCTCAGTTTCTCATCTCCTTTCTCACCACTCTGGGAGTCACAAAGCTATCCTCCCGTGACAGCCGCCCACGTCATACATTAGGGCAACTAAGGTGTTCCATGTCCGTGCTGCTCTATTTAGCGGAGACAACTTCGCAATCCACTTTAGTTCAAACAAGAGTTAGAACACTTACTGCCGGGACGCTCTCATCAGACTGGTTGCCTTTTTCCTAAAACCATACTCAGAAGGGACCGTCTTTCTTCGGGGATTGCTAAAGACCAGCCCCGCCCCACCCTTCACCCAAGTGTGAGCAAGTCCTGGAGAGCAAACGCAAGGGAGGATGCTCTGGGCAGGAATGGGCCTTGGCAAAGTGTGCTGCCCCGAAGCGGGTTGGAGCTGCGGGCGGGCGGAACCTGAGTTAAAGCCGTCAGCTCCAGTCTGGGCCAACTAGGCCCTTGTTTCAAACGTGCCCTTGTCCTCCGCTGTCAGGGATCCTGTGGGTCTCTGGACTATCTGTTCTCCAGGGTCCATGCAGCGCCCAAGCGCGAGTCCCCAAAGAGCAATCTGTAAAGGGTCAGTTTAGGAACTAGATGGCCGCGTTAACCTGCCTGATACCGTCACATCTGGGCGAGTGGGGTCGCAGCTCGAATTCCTAGTGCAACAAACCGTCTAGTATGCATGTGTGTGTGGTGAGGGGTGAAGGGTCTGAAACCTAACCTCTTGGAGGACTTCGGGTTGCTGACGAAGAGCAGCGGGGGACTGGGAAAGACTTGTTTCTGGACTGATAAAAACCCTGCAGAAGGACCAAGCCCATATTGCAAGTCAAGAACATGTAATCACGCTCCCGTTCGCGGGCTAACTTTTTTTTTTTTTTTTCATGGCAGAGCCACGATGAAGGGGAAGAAAACCGGCAAGGCGGGGTGGGTTGGGTTGGTGGTGGTGGGAGTTAGGCGGGAATGTGCTCTGGAAGCACACTCATGGTCCGCCAATGTGGCATCCACAAGGGGAAAACCAGATTTAAAAACAACAAAAATCCAGCTAAAAATTGGGGTTTTCTTTGCTCGCGCACGTGTAAAAAAATTCACTCAAAAATTAGCCACCTTTCTTCTCCCCCTGGTAATTGTCAGACGCAGAGGGCAGACACAATGGGTTTAAGAGGTTTTTTTTTTTTTTAACTGGACAAGGGAAATACTGCTTCTCCTGGAATTCCGTCTCCCAAACGGATGGATTTTCCGCCATGGGAAGGGCCAGGATCCACTTTCCAAAGCCGCACGGCCCCGGGCTGGGCTTCAGATCTAAGTTCCCATCAGTTCCAGTGCCCACCGCGTTTTCCGGAGACACAATTGGGTACTAGGTAGGTTACAGCGCGACCTGCTGATCCCATTGTTTCTAAAGTTCTCGGGCTGGATTTCAGCAACTGAGGGGAGAAAAAGCGCGTCCGTCTCAGGCCTCGTAGGGCAGCTTGGTGAGAATCTTGGCGCCCCCCGACGTGATGAGAACTGTGTGCTCAAACTGGGCGGACCTGAAACAGAGCGCAGAGGTCAGGACGCACGCCAGCGTCCGCGCGGCCCGAAAGCCCATCACGCTTATCTTCCCTTCCGGAACAATTTTTAAAGCCAACAGGGCAGAAAGCATACACCTTTGGTTGTCTAGGGAGACCACAGTCCAAGCATCTTCCAGGACTTTAAATTCAGGGGATCCCTCGGTGATGATTGGCTCTGTAAGAAGGAAAATATTTACTGTAGTGATCTCATCAGATTCTTGTCAAACATTGTTTCGGATGAGAGAGAGAGAGAGAGAGAGAGAGAGAGAGAGAGAGAGAGATGAAAGAATAAGGAAACTCCCCCCTCCCCTCAAGTGTTTCACCCACGGGTTCATGTTGTCATCTTGCAAGGGCTGATAATTGATGTTGCTTACATAGTCTACTACAAACTAAACAGTAGGAAGAGGAAACACTAAGGCATTAAAAAATGTATGAAGTTGCCTAGTTCATAATTTTTTAGAGAAAGAAGGGCATTTTAATCAAGCCTTAATTAGGACCCCGTGGATAATAACCACCCCAAACACCAGTCCCTCTTATAAATACCAGTCAGTTTTTTAAAATATTTGAATTTTTAAAACATGCTCAAAATGTTCATTAATCAGCAAATAACAATTTTCTTATTCACTCTAATTGCTTCTCTATTAAGTCCCACAGTCAGAAATATGAGGCCTTCCTGGCCCTAGGTGATTGGAATTTTGTGGTGACACCAATCCCATGATCAGCCAGGAATGGGCAGCCAGAGCACATGCCACTTGCTGATAGGGAGCAAGGGAAATAATCGCCTCTAGTTACTGGGTGTTAATGAAAAAACAAAACAAAACAAAAAACCAAACACCACATTATGCTTGTAACAGAATTAGAGGTTGGATGGCTGCCGTCTCCTAAATGTGTCGGTAAGTATCTGATTTAGGAAGATGGGGCTCAAGGATATTATTTAATCAGATTTACTATGCATCCGAATTATTTCATTATGCTGATTGGTTTTATTAGTCCTTTGCAGGACTGCAGGCCTAGGCCAGAGCCACAGTTTCCACCCAGGCGTCCAGCTCTCCAAAGAGGAGTCCCAGCATTTACCTATGGTGAATGCCATACCCTCCTCCATAGGCAGATCATTGTCATTCGCTGCAAAACAAAAAACACAAGGGCTATGAGAAGAGGAATCAAGGAGGAAAGAAAGAATTAGAGAAGGTGGACTGTTTTTAAAAACTTGATCATTTAGTTTTCTTTTAGGGGAGAAGGAAGCCTGTCTTTGTAATATTTGTACTCTAGGTTAAGACTCTCTCTCCTTGGAGTTTGCCAAGGCGTGGCAGGGGCTATCTAGGTGTTCCAAGTACCTGTAGGGCTTCCTCTCCTTTGTCTCCAATGTTCCCCAGGCCACCTGCTGCTAGGTCTCCTGGCTTCAGTGGGGCCTGGACCTTGCCCCAACCCCTACATCAAAGAGAAGTCTAGGGAAGGATGTAAAGGGAGGACAGGGTCCTGGCATGCAGGATAAAGAAGGAAGCAGGGTCTTTATCCTCAAATAACTCCAGACACTAGCACTGGGTAGGGCACAGACCTGACAGGCCCTTTCCATACTCATCTCCATCTCTTCTGCCTCAGGTGGAACTCTTTGGCCTAAAAGGGTTCTCCAGGAATCCTCTAAGTTCCAGGCAGTAGAACCAATCCTATCCCACATGCACAAGTCAAGGCCCCAGGATCACCTTTCCTTTAGTCCTTGTCCAAATGTCCACCCCCTGGGGGCTCCTCCACACACCTGCTTCCTATGTTAACCCAAATCTTCCCACCCCTCTGATCCACTCCTGCCTTCTCACTGTAGTGTGCATACCCAGGCAGTGAATAACAGGGAATTCTGGGGAAGGAATATAAGGGTGGGCATAATCTAGAAGTCACTGAAAAGTACATGCTGCTAAATACATTAGCTGTCAGCACTGAGTAGGATATAAAGTAGTTTAACCACAACAGTCAGCAGTCAGAAAAGGGGGTAGAAAAAGAAAACCAGAAAACAGTCATATATGCATCCTGCTGGGACATTGGTGGAGTTGTGTTTTGTTTTCAGTAACTTTTTTCTAGACAAATAGCCCTTGTGCCTTCCAGGCATGCACCCTTCAGGAAAAGACAAAAGGCAAAACAAACCTTATTTGGGGACTGAAATTACTAGGTTCCAATCTGATAGCATAGTAATATGCTGGTTAAAATTAAGTAGAATACCTCCACACCTCCAGAGAGAGAGAGAGAGAGAGAGAGAGACACGATAATGTTAACTCCAAGTGAGAGGAAGTGCCTAATTAACTTTCTTACCATGATGCCAGATTTCTGGATGTCCATGAAAGTAAGATCCTATTCCATGTCCCACGAAATGAGGACAGACTTGCAAACCATTCTGATGAGTTATACAGCTTTAAAAGTAACCGCAGGATATTTAACTAAGTTAAATAAATTTTTAATGCATACTAAGTAAAAAGAAATTTACTTTAAAATATTCTCTGAAAAAGGAAAAAAAATCAGTTTTATTTAGAGTCAGATGATAACATTGTTTTATTTTGTAGTAATTTTAATTTTTGTTTATGTTTGTTAACAACCTACTTTGGATATATAAAAAATGAAGAGATGCATCTAACAGTCCTTTGAGTCATTTATGTTAGCACAGCATTCGAGCAAGGTTTTTTAGGTAATAAATGAATATGCATACACACAAATAGACTGATATACATAACTAAGATGTATGTGGGTATAATACAGGTAATAAAAACCTAAATGCTTTTTATGGTTTTATTATTGTGCAATTAGTATTGCTTTGGAGAAGAAAATTACAATCTAGAAATATGACTTTCAGTCTTTTTTTAACTTCCTATTTTTATGGTTTCATTATTCTGATCTATTTCAAAATGTTATATATACATTTAAAAAAAAAAAAAGCTCCACAAAAGATCAAGTCTGTTTTGTCAATTTTCTTGAAACATTCCAAAACTCTGTGTTTTGAAGTTCTACTCTCGACCTACACCATTAACAAAACTCATAAAGAATGCTTTTTAGTCACTATGTTTAAGAGAAGCTAGTATTGATTCCTGATTCTTCTTCTCTTCCTTTCTTTTCCCCCTTTGGTGGTAGTAGGGTTTGAACTCAGGGCTTCACGCTTGAGTGCTCTACAGCTTGAGCCACTCTGCCAGCCCTTGATTCCTAATTCTTAATGCTTCATTAGTTACTTCTACATGCAAGTGTTTTGAGTTCCATCTATCCTTTACAAATGAACTTTAGCATATAGAATCCAACCCTAAAATATTCATTTGTACAACTGAAAGGTTTTTGTTGAAACTGGGTGAATATGCTTGTTTCTGGGAGCACTAGCCTGATAAAGACATGTGGCACTACTGATTTATATTTTCATGTGAATGAAGGACATTAGTACCCTAACCCTACCCATAACAGTGGATGGTATTTATACTGTTGTAATGCCTGACTAACATCTTTATGGACATTTACTTCCATATATTTTTTTAAACATTTTTTTTGGGGGACAGTACTGGGGTTTGAAGCTAAGGACTTTGAACTTACTAAGCAAGCGCTCTATCACTTGAACCATGCTTCCAGCCCAAAACTTTTTTTTTTAGACAGGGTCTCACTATACTGCACAGGCTGGCCTTGAACTTGTGATCCTTCTGCCTCCTGCTGGGATTTCAGGCATATACCACCATGCCCAATTTCATTTTTTAAAACATTTTAAACCACTCCAGATTTGTTAAGGTATTTTCACTTAAACCAGGATATCACAGCTTCTCATTGAGATTTAATTTTGATGTAACTGAAAATGAAGAAATAGGCAAGTTATGCATGTGTTGAGGACAGGAATAAATCAATGTTTTTATATCTTAAGTAGCCTTTATAGTTACGGCTATTTCTGTGCATCTTTGCACTTTAGGCAGGAGGTATAACAGCTTTCCAAAGTGCTTCTATTTGTTCTACACAATTTCTGAACAGAAACTGAGGATGGAGAGTGGATAGAGGATGGAAGAGAGATGATTAAATAAGACATTATAGTCTAGATTGGTTTTTTTAAAAAAAACAAAACAAAAATGGGTGCTCCCTAAACCTATAAATTATGTTAGTTCAGTCTCAACAAACCTCAGTGATCTGAAGAGCATTCAATAAAAACTATTCTATTTTCATTTCTTAAAAAAAAAAAAAAACACTAGTTTTTTCAAGGACCCAACTGATTGGCAGGCATCACAGCTACATCTTAAATGTGTGTTACAATGGCAATCTTCATTTTAATTTCTGATGAGAGGAAAAGAAGAAAGCCCACTGAAAAACCCTCGGGGTCCCTCCCCCCATCATACCTCTCATTCCTCTTCATAAAAGAAGCTGTGCAATTACTAGATGGCTAAAGATATCTGAGTGCATTCTCCTACAACAATTTGCTCTGGATCCTGCTGGAACTTCTGGCCACAGGAGCATCATAGAATCCATGTGTAACGAATGCAAAGGTTAGAGGATTTCACAGACAGGAGAAAAAGAGGAAAGAACAGGGAATACTCAGTTCCTTAGTTGAGCACCCTTCTCAATGCTTGATTCCCAGGAGTTAAGAACAGACTTCTGTATGCTTTTCAGTGTATTCTGGTTTTGGGTGTGTAGTTTTTAGTAAACACTGGAGCTAAATGGGATACAATCTCATTAATATGGTTCTATTTAAAAGCATGATCCTTTAATTATCTTGGGATACATGGTGAGCACAAGATTATTTTATCTGACTATAGGGTTTAAATCTGACTTCAGAGAGACAGTCCAAGTGACTTGTAGCAAATTCTACCCCTCTAGCAGGAAAGCAAGTGTTGGTCACCCTAATTGAAGCATGGGAAGGTGGAGCGTGCATCTACCTCTTGACTGGTATGTTGTGAGAAATAGAAATAGCAGGGCAGCCAGGAGTGTCAAGAAGTGACGCAGATGCTCCCCAACACCAGCCCACTTCAGGACCATGACCTGTTTCTGAGCACAAGGGTTTTCTTGCCTTGAATATTCACCGATGAAATCTTCTTTCTCCTTGCTGAAATCTACTGAAAAGAACTTTCCTGGTATTAGCTTTTCTGTTCTCTAGGATTTTCTCTAGCTAAAAATCTTTTAAGACATAGGACACATACTTATTTATGTTTTGAAGTCTTTCATATGGAATATCGGGGGAGAGAGAAGAGGAAGAAGGTGTATAAAGGTAGTTTATTAACTTACTTTTCAATTGTATTACTACAGTTCATGTTTCAGATACAGCTTATAGTAAAAGATAAATTTTTAAAATTTCTTATGACCACTTTCTTTGGTTTAATTCCAACTGAAATGTCTAATAAATCAGATTTCTTGATATATTTCAACTATTTTTTGACTAAAAATACATTCCCCAAGAGGGCAAAGGAGTATTATGTTTAACTACATGCTCTTATAAAAATATCAAAATACACACGGAAATAGTTTTATTACCATTTTTACATGAATCCTATAAGCAACACCAATCTAATTAAGGATCTCAAATGGCACCTGATTTGACAAGTGTTGGAATTTTACTTGAATTTTGTAGATTTTTAACTTAAGTAGTAATCTCTGAATGAAGGAATGTACAAATCCAGGGATTTCCTCTAATGACAAGGATGTTTTAAGTATAATTAGTAAGATTTTTGAAAGCCAACAACTGTTTTCCAAAAAAGTTTTACATTTTTTTGTTTCAAACTGGATCACAAATTACTGTATTTTTCTTATAATAGTGCTGAACTTTTATTTGAGGTTTTCTGTTTCTGAAAAGCAGACGTGATGGATTGAAATAAAAGATAATTTATTGCAATGCTTACTTTCATGTGCAAAGAGAAGCAGTGTAATTGTAATTTACAGTAGCTGTCAAGAAAAATCCATCACAGATGACATTAAAATGACTTATTTTGCCTGAGCCACTTATTGTTTAAATGTGCATAATCTAATAGAAAAAGATTATTTTTTAAAAAATCTGCTTCATATTGTTCTAAATTAATACCAAAACATATACTTATGAATTAAACATTAAAAACCATTTATTGATACTTTCATCATGACATTTGCAACTATAAATTTAAATTGTTTTTGATTGAACTATCATATATTTGTGAAGCATGAATCTACATATCCATAACATTCTCACACCTACAGATAATATAATCTAGAGATAATTACAAAAATACAGACTTAGAATATTTTAAAGCAATGGAAGCACAGTGAGTCTATATATATGCTATGGCCTAAAGGTCACTAGGTATTGCTCAGAAAGGAAAGGGCACAGAGAAAACTCTTCAAAGACATCCTCTTATTCTTTAGCTTTCAAAGGAGGATTTCAAATTTTCCCAAAGAGAACTTGAGGTTTTGGGTAACATAATATTAATACAAGATGCCTGATCCTTTCAGAGTGTCAGTAGAAGAATGCTATGCAAAGATGGTGAATATCGTAAAATAAACAAGAATGTGTCAAAAGATGTTTGCAAACATTTGATTTGTAAAGATTTCAAATATTGTTGGCTCAAAGATGGATATCACTTATTTATTTATTCCCTTAAGATTCTGCCTGAGTCAGAAAAGATAAAATAATAGATGTTCAGAAACACTGTTTTAACATATCAGAACAAACATTTGTTAGAATTGGGGCCAGTTTCCTTATCAGTGGCCGACATAAACATCTAAATAAGGAAATGCATTAGGATAAAAGTTGCTATTAGCCACATAGTTGTGTATGTGTAGTTGTTGGGACTGATCTGGTTTTCAAAGGAGTTTGTTCATGCAAATTCATACTCTACAAAAACTGACCTTTACATCCACATAGCTAAAACCAATGTCACTTTCAATTCTACTCTTCTTCCTCTGGTTTTTCTTTTTTTATGTAGCTAGAATTAATGTAGTGAATATGTAATGAAATGCATTATCCTGCATGGAGATTTATCAGATTTTCCGAATGAATGCTATGCTGTGCTGGTACTAGCTGGAGTTCACCTGCATGTTGGTGTGGCGTGTGGCTCTTTTTTGTAAAGAGTTAAGTCGTACACAAAAAAAGGGAACAAAGGTCAGCACCCAGCCACCACTTGAATGTGAGATTTTTCTTTTTATTCCCCTTGATGTATACTAGGCTCTGTGTTATTAGTCTTAATGATGGAAAATTGTAGTGTTGATACAAATCTTTTTTTCAAAGTAGTAGGCGGGAGCTCCATTTGTTAGTAAGTTTTTTTTGTGACTAAAAGCCACGGACAGTACATTTATGTAGCAGTAAAAGGCCTAGATGCTCTTTCCATAGCAGAGCTAATTATTCCTACTGTGACCTTACTGATCTAGCCTGTTCCTAGTACATCTCATCTGCACGCCTGTTCCTCTGTGTAGATGGTGTCAGAGAATATGAAAAACCCTATAATGAAACCATTTTCATGATGGAGAAAGGCTACTGGAGTTGCACTTGCTACAAAGAGGCTCAATTATATGAGTAATTGTGATAATTTTCTACATTCATAGCCTTCAATGGGGGAAAAAAGAATGAGAGCCACAAAGGAAAATTACTTTAACAAGAAAGTACAGAGAGTAAAAATGGAAGAAGAGACAAAAAGGGGAAAAAATAACCAGAAAAAAAGTTTAAAAAATAGATCTGGAGGGAGGAATAGCGAGACAGGGAGAACAACAGAAATGCTCAAAAGCCCATGTGCAGCTGTGTTGCACAATTAAATTGAATTTTTTTTTCTGCAGTTGATGAATGTGACTACTGCAAATGTGCCTCTGTAGTTAGCTATCATTTGTTGTTCCGTGACAGGAAAAGGATAATTACCTCTCAGAGAGAATCAAAGGCTGACATGCCCTTTAGACACAGCCATGAATGCAGAGCTCGATAGAATGCTTGAATAAGAATCTAGTGTTCTCTGCCCCCTTCTACTGAAGAATAAATTTTGTTAAAATGCAAGAGCACCACCAGTAAATTTGTTGAACCCTAGGTGTTCAAAAATATGAGGTGCATCTATCGACTCATCCCATTTGCAAAAATAAAACTGCATTTTGAATTCATTTCTATTATATTCATGGACAGTAAGATAGTGAGATATGCATTAAATTTCTTTTCCCAGTAGGGGTCTGATTCAACATTTCCTATGAAAGAACAGAGAGACACTATCCTTTTTTCCCAGGCTAGTTAGCCTATAATTTAAAACTGTCAAAAACACAATTTTGTTCAAAGTCTTCAATAAAAGCTTCTCAGATATAACCCAAAGAGATTTTACTAAAGTTTGATTCAGACACTGTTACAATATTTTTAAAGCCATAAATACATTTAACTGATATTTTACTGCCTTTTTTCTTAAAGTATTTGAAGGCATACGCAGAAAAATAGGCAGCATCTTTTCAAGGTGACTAAGCTTTCTATCCTTTGGACAAATGGGAAGTATTCAATGGTTCATATTAATGAGAACAGTACTTTAAAGGGTACCGATGTGATCGTCTTTAACAAATGTGTTACTTTTAAATGAAAACACATCTTCTGCATGTCTACTTCAAAACATTTAGGAGGGAAAAAAGGCCTGAAAGTAGGTGACAGATTACAAAGAAAAGTCTTGAATTCAGAAAATGTACATACACTTAAAAAATAAGCACAGAATAACTGTGTGGAAAATAAACAATGTTTACAGGAAAAATGAACCAGACAAAAAAGGCAGACCACTCTTTTAGGCTATTTGCTAATCTATGATTTGAAAGATAAAGCTTGATTGAGCTAACACTTTTTATCTTTGTATCATAGGAATATGTTTCACCTTATTCCTTTATGAAAGTTACTTTTCTCCTTTCTCACTATCCAAGGGTTGGAATGTCCAGCCTCTTCTTAGGCACTTTCTTCCTTACTTGGTGTAATTTGAATAAAGGAATACTACAGATTACTATGTCAAACTAAAACGCATGTAGCCATATAAATAATGCTTGCTGCTCCAACACATTTCTTTGTTGGCTGTGTATAATTCACTTTTTTAAAATCTTTTTTTTCCCTCAAGCTGGAACAATATTGCAACCTGGCAGTTCACATACTGATATCAGACTGAAATAATGGTTTTGAATCATAAAACATGTCATCAATTTTATACCAAGCCACCAATAACCTTTGTACCATTTGCCAACCCTCCCTTTATTTGTCAGTGTAAGGCTTACCTGATTGTGTTTCCAATTACAGAGAAGGGGGCCCCAGCTCTGCAAACTGCAATTGCTTCATCTCTACACCTCCTGGCAACCTCCACTAACTTTTTACCACATTCATCCACATTGCCCACCAAAAATGTTTCAGAGGTGTCTCCATGGTAGCCATTGTAATAGACCTAAATATAGGCAGAAAATGTAAAATATGTCCTTGTTTAAAAATCTACTCCCCTAAAGTATATATACATGGTGTGGATTTATGTGTTTAGTAAATTCATGTGTTTTACCCTTCCAGAATTACTCTGAAGTTTGTCCATAAAAAAAAGAGGAAAAAAATAAGATACACCTTATAGGCTTTTTAAAAAATATTAAAGCCATGCAATGATATTATAAAATGTAAAATCAAATAAGTTAGTAGCTATTTCAGCATGTGATTAGCGATACTGTTGTAACATTTTGATTACTTATTTTATTTTTGAGAAGATAAAACTATTTATGCAAAAATTAGTGACCAAATCCATTGACCTACAAATACCACACTAGGTCTAGAAAACTAAACATTTCACACAGTAAGAAGTTTCTTCAATGTCATGAAGATTTACATATCTTTCATTTACCAGTTCTATACCTGGAAGTAAAATATAATGTCAAGAAGAAATAAGATGACATGTCAGTAGTATAAAGGACGGTAAAAGAATTTAGTTGTAAGAACTGAAGTGGCTCAATTTAGGAATGAAAAATGTTACAGAAAAATTCTATGTCTAGAATGAAATCTTAATCAAATATTCCAGATAGCAAATGTTAACAGAAAACACTCTGTGAATTTTTAAAAGAATCAGAACATAACAAAACAGACTTAGAAATTATATTACAGAAAATTTTATCAGTCAGTCATCAAGGATTTAGAAGTCCCAGAGGATCCCGAAAGATACCAGATTCATTATTTAAAAAAAAAAAAAAAAAAAACAAAGATTACCAAATACTATAAAGAATATAAAAGGCAGAGGAGACTGGTTGAATGTTGATTCTTGGATGTAGCATGTATTTACTATTTTGCCTAACTTTGTCCTAATTATGTAGAATGCAGAAACTGTTACAAAAAAGTATTTATCTGGGCTTTCCATATGTTTTAATACTAAATTAATGTCTTAAATCTATATACTATTCTACATTTTATTTTATTTTATTTTTTTGGTGGGACTGGGGAATTGAACTTAGGGTTTACACTTGTAAGCAGGCGCTCTACTGCTTCAGCCACACCTCCAGTTCCTATTCTTCATTTAAAAAAAAAATGTTCTCCTATACTTTATAAAGATCTTTAGTTTACAAGTCAGGAAACTGAGGCACAGAGAAGTAACTTGTCTGGTGACAGAATACAGGGGAGACTCAAATTAATACGATGGATTGTTGGCTCCTAGTCAAGTGTTTTCACTACTGTACAAATTATTGTAATTACCTGGCAATAGAGGTAATTTTTATACATATTCACATTTATCGTCCTTTGCAATCTAAGAAAGTAGAAGTTTTGATTTTATACACAAGAATATAAATGTTGCTAATATCAGAGTAATTATTCAAGAAAATCTATAACAATAAATGTTTATGTAACTGTTTCTAAGTAAAAATGTATTGCTTTAGAATTTTTTATTTGCTACCCCATATTACTTTTTGCTAGGTTTCAAAATGACTACTTGGAAGATGCAATATATATGCAACACAATACTTTTGAATGTTTCTGGCAGTCATCTATAACTATTGTTTGTCCTTACAAACTATTCTTATTTGTACTTCATTAATTTAACAAGTATTTATTGAGTAACTACTATGAGCACATTGTCTTTTCAAGAAAACATTCAACTTTCAAGAGAAAAATCTATTTTCTTGTGATACATACTAGACAGAAGTAATAATAAAAATGCAATGAGGATTTTCTGATAAAAGTAATGGTATCTTTCACTTAATAAAATGTTTAAGATACTGTTTCTTAGGTTTCTTCACATTTCTAAACCTTGAAAGTATTTCACATTGTTTTGTGAATTTAACAACAGCTAAAATAAATTTAAATGTTATGTTGTTTGTTAACTGTCTTTAAGAAACTTAGAAAACAAATGAAGTATTCTCTTTGGACATATTGGAAATGGTAGAGATGATTACACCCACTTCATTCCAGCAGGAATATTCTAGTAGAATATTCTACTACAGATAGTAAATGGAAAACCCTAAAATCAGGTTCAATAAAAATAAAAGTAGATAATGACAAAGACTTTATTTCAGGTACACCTCATAAAATACTTCCTTCATGATTCTGAGTTGGAAAGGTATCAATACGATACGTGGAACATGTTCAGGTATTCTAAGTGGAGCAAAAAATGACATAGGAAAATAATATCAGCAATACAGAATATTTGCCTATATCCTTATACAAACTGATATGAGGAAAATAGATTGAATTAATTCAAACAACTAAAAATCTGACTAAATTCAACTACTGGATGCCTATTTTCAGCTCATTCCTAGTCTTACCTAAGTTTCATGGTCTGGATATAAAATAACTATTATTAAAAATAGCCCCTCATTAATAGAAACTATTACTTAAATTTTGTCCATTTCAAATAGTTCTCAATACTCTGGTTTCTCTTCAGATCGTATAAATCTTTCACCTTTTCAAATAGTTCTCACCAGGTGTTTACTTTTTATTTATTTATTTATTTTAAATTTATTAAATATTGGACATAATAGATTTTATTTACAATCTGTATAAACAAAAGGTACGATTATAAAAAATTCTAATAAAATGAACACAAATAATCCAAGTCTGAGCATGGTGAAAGGCTAAGAAAATTAGAAAAGGTTGCACCTTGTTCAATTTGAAATCCCTATGTTAAATTACTTAAGCTTGTTATTTAAAAGAAAAACCATTAACCATTTGGTGAAAACTTCAGTTTACAGAGAAAAATCATTCCTCTTGTATGCTTTGAGCTCACGACTCTCTATACCAGAAATGGTATACAATGTTACCTTCAGGGATTTTAATAAATCTAGGGAACACTGCTAGCAAAAGAGTTGCTGTCCAAATAGACTGACACACAGGCCAATGTAGCCCCTAATGACAGAGTAAGATAATGACAGGCCCCACTCAAAATCAGCAGGAAGAGGAAGATCAATCTTGGCAGAGTGAAGGAAAAATGCTGGCTTTCTTCGTGTTAGCTCATCTCATACATATCTAGCTTCAGCAGCTGCCCAGTGCTGTGGCGCTCTGCATTAACTACACAGTGGATCAATAACAATTACACCTTCTCAAAAACATGACACATAGCAGGATTGGGCTGACATTTCACTTAGGCCAACATTGATCTCAGTGCATCTGATTCCAGCCCTAAATTCAAGTCAGGCCTGGGTTTACTTGGAATAAACACAGAGTTAAAGACAAAAAAGGAAACCAGCTGCTTGCGTCTGGGACTAGAAGTAAACAGCACTTCCACCAGGGCAGTTCACATTTTCAATCCACTCTTCTTCCTGTTGCTACCAGCAATTCTGAAGTTGATCAAAGACTACTTTTTATATGATTCACTCACCGTGACATCAATGTTGATAATATCTCCGTCCTGAAGAGGTCGACTGAAACATAAACAGAAAAAAATGGTGACAGGCAAATCTCAATAAAAAGAATGTTAAAAAAAAAAAATACCTGATGACTACTGTAACAAACTCAATGAGTTACAACAATATTCGGAATGAAGGAGTAATAAATGGAATAACTATATCTGACCTTTATCTTATGTTGGTCACATCACATTTTATAAGAAGTGCATGAAATTAACATATTGCCATTGCTTAAAAATGGACTATTCTGCAAGTGGCTCATGATTAAACTGTAATCTTAGCTACTTGGAGGGCTGAGATTGGGAGGATGGAGGTTTGAGACCAGATCTCCAAAATAATCAGAGCAAAATGGACTTGAAATGTGGCTTAAGTGGTAGGGCAAGCCTGAAGCCCTGAATTCAAACCCTAATTCTGCCAAAACCAAATAAACAAAAAGAAAAAAAAAAGACTATTGTTTTTAAAAAAAAATAAAAAGACATTCTTAGCACTAGGAATATAGCTAGGGGGCCATTAGAGAACTTCCCTGGGTTTAATCCCCAACACCAGAACAAACAAACAAAGATGTACTTATTAATCACCTTAAGTTTGTAAAGAACCAAAATAATAGTTGATAACAAAATTTGACCATATTGGATTTTTACCATAAAAATTGAAGAAGGTAAAAGAAATAGTTAATGTAGTTTTGTAGATCACATAGTGCTTTAACAAACATTAAATGGTGGTGTAATATTCATTTAGAAGCAAAATACTTACACTTTTTTATCATAATCAACTTCAGAAGTTTGCAAGTTGGTTTTAATTGAAATATAGTATCTTTCAACATAAGTTACAGATCTTAGTTTCATGTTTTAGTTTCCAAAGGAACAATATGTTATTAAAAAATGAATACCTGTCAGGAATACCATGACAGAGCACGTTGTTTACAGAGGTACAAACAGATTTTGGAAAGCCTCCATAGCCTAGAGGTGAGGGATAGGCATTATGTCTGATGATTTCCTGATGAACAAGAGCATCTATCTCTTCAGTTGTCATGTCAACCTAAAATATTAAATAAATAAATTGTGCAGTGACAGTTGAAGACATTACTTGTATTTACTGACTATGTCTATAACAGCACTGGATTGGGGGCGTGGCTCAAACGGTAGAGAGTCTGTTTTGCAAGTGCAAAGCCCTAAGTTTAAACACTAGTCTCACACACATACACAAAAAAATTCTGGTCTACAATAACAGCACTTCCATGTGAAATTGTATAAATTCACTATGATAAACTTGTGGTATAACATTTAATTAATTATGAATAAATATTAACCATCTTCAATTGTGTGTTTTTGATGATCATTTGGGTGTATGATGATATTACACACTATTAGGAAGTAGAAAAATTTGAACTCTAGGATACTCTTAAATCATTTGTGAATCATTAAATGACTTGACTCCTTTCTAACCTGAAGATTTCAACAATATGCCCTTCAGCAATTCCTTCCTCTTCCTGGTTAGTGCCCCAGTGAATGGAAACATATAAATAAATGCTCCAAGTAAAGTTCATTTTAGACAAGGTCTGAAAAGTAGGTCAACCCACACTTTTTTATTTCAGTGAAACACTGCATGGTTTTGCAGCAATGGCATGGAGATCATGGGTCATCATTTAAAAAACTCAAGTCTGAGAGGTTTTGTAGAGATTTCATTTCACTAATCTTAATTTCTTTCATGCCTAAATAAATGCGTATTTTTTAAGTTCCTCTTACTACAAGGTATCCATCCAATTGTTCCCAAATATGGAAAACTGAAATTGAGGGGCTTTTTGTTTTGTGTGTTTTGTAGTGCTGGGGATCAAATCCACTCTTTCACACATGCTAGGCAAACACTACCACTGATCATCCATTCCCCTAGCCCCTTAAACTGAGTTTTATAAGCACATGGAGACTATTTCTATGAAATAAATTATGTCATAAATAAAATTCTAAAACAAAAACTCTTTTGTTAAGAGTTAAATGTTTCTTTAATAATTTTCTGTTATTTTAGTTATGTTGCTATAACAAGTTTATTGTGCAGATGACACAGTAATATGATCTTTAGATAGCTTCAGATTATTATGAAAGAACTAAATCTTGCACAGAATGGTTGCAGATAATAATACCGCCATATTACCTATAGCTTTGTGTATCTGGTCTGATCTTTCTTGGCAGAGTGAATGAGAGAAAATAGGAGGTAAAATACAAAGTAGACCAATTCTATTTCCCAACACAGAAATGATGTAGGAAATAAAAGCAGAAACTACAGGCAGGAGTAAGGGAGCAAAAGTCAAAGCCATCTACCATTGATTAATTTGGATAGGCTGATTTAGCCCAAAGTACCTTTAGAATTCTACTAAAATTAAATTTTAAATTATCTCTTCAAAAAACACATAAAATAATATAAACCCTTTCTCCCATCCCAAGGCTTAATTTCTTTAACAACAAATTAGATGGACTCAAAAGAAGAGGTAAGGGGGAAAAAAAAAATCAGTGTTTGTTGTCCCTTATGTAAGTCACCCTGGGGATTGCTTGGTAAGATGCCACCTTTAAACTCTTCCCAGCCAAGAGGAGGACATGACGGGCCAGCTGACAGGCCTGACGAAGCCCTTGAATCTGATCTTCATTCTTAACTTCTATGCTGTCTCCCCAGTTGGGTACAATGCCTGTCGTCACATAGTCTGGCTTCTTTATGTGCTTGAGGAAAAAGGATTGAAAATGAAGATCAGAACCCAGCGCACGACAATGGGATCATTTTTTCGGACACAGCCTCCTGCTTCATGGAGCTCTGCCCTTCCTGCCAGAGCACCGACCTCCAAAGCCAGCACAACAAACCCTCCAGGCTGCCCCCAGTTCCTTCCCTTGCCCTTTTGAACTTAACATTGCCCGTTAGTGCTGCCTCTGGATGGTCTGTTAACCTCACCATGCTTTGAGTCAAACTCAGTCTGAAGTAGATTTCTGGTCAAAACAAATAGTAGTTTTCTTTTTCTACCCAACCCCATTGGAAACATATCACAATTGAAGAAAAAGAGCACCAAGCTTCCAATTTGCCAAATGGTTAATTAAGCAGCACTTTCATCTTCTTGACACAAAGATAAAATTTATGCAAACGATATCTCCCAACAACCTCTTCCACAAATTTATGTGGAAAGGCTGACTGTCAAGTCATGGAAACCTCTTACACACACATTTTCCTTATACTTGGCAACTCTACTTAAACTGAGAGCTAGAGGATAAAACAAAACAGCTTTCTTTTATTTTTCTCTACCCAAAGTACTTTAAAAAATTACCTAGAACGCTTCCATCTATTGTGAAGAACAAACAAATAGCCCCACACCAAAACTTAGAACATTCAACTCTGATCACTCTTGCAGATCATCCTCTACCACTTCCTTAAACTCATTGGCAGTATTCAGGAAGTAATACTATCTTACACACAGAGCTTCTTTCAGCCCCAAGATTTTGCATAGCCTTTAATAAGTTATTTATAGCAACTGTACATAAGCATTGTTGAACAGAACACAGTGAGGCTACACAGCAATTTGGGACAGGAAGCTGCGGGAGACAACACTCTTCAATGGCAACATGATGCAACTCAGGAAGGGCTTAGGTTAAGACTGTGTGAAGAGTGCCTTGCGGACTCTTAGGATCTTTTCTTATTCTCCTGTTCAGAAGGGCTTTTTTGATTCAGGTAATGGAATTGCCTAGTTTTCCACAGTTGGGCTCTGAAGGAACTTCTGCTCTCCTATAGTCACCCCACCAATGCCCACAGCTCACCAGGTCTCCCCCAAATAGCCTATGTTCTCATTTCCACTCTGTACTGTGATCCAACAAGGTTACAACAATAGGCAGAGGGGCTGTCGAGGTATCACTGAAATGTTTAAAACAACACATTTACCTATTCATAGATTTCTTTTATCTTTTCTACTAAGGAAAATAATGCCAGTGTTGTGATTAACACTAAAATGGTGGCTTTCACTGTATTGGCCAGGTCTCAGCCAACCCAGACCTTCTCTCTCTGTCTCACCAGCACTTGCCACAAAAATGGGTCATATACTTCTAGTAGGTATAACATACTCAATGTGGGTTCATTATTTAAAAAAAAAGGAAAGGGAAAAAGCAGGTGATTTTGGTGGCAAATCCATATTTCTTTTAGCTGTTCTCCTTCCTGAGTGACCCATATACCTCCTTTATATTGCATTTTGAAAAATGGAGAGTTTGTCTTTCTATAGAATTGCAGTATTTGGGGGGAAAAGTCAAGAATGCTCTGAAACAAGATGTTTTATTTAATTTACTATAAAGGACAATTCAAAGACAGCATTTACAACATAGAAAGTATAAGAGCAGACTTAAAAACAACATCTAATGTGTTAGTTTTAAGTAATCGCTCTTGAATCATCCCAATTTTATGGGGAAATTTCCCTAAAAAGTAAGAAGCTATATCCATGTAGTTCTAGCTTCATGTCAGAAATTTAATATAGAAAATTTCATTATAAAAATTTAAATTCTAAATAAGCTAAGCATGTATATTCAGAGCTTTATTTTTTAAAATCAATTTCTAGAACTAACTGCAAGATGGTAAAAATTATATCACAATTTTAAATCACAAATCAAGTTTTAAAATTATGACTCTAATGACCCAGAAGTCAAAGGTGCAAAAGCATCTGATCAGTCAGTGATCTTGGCTGGAAAGAGCAGAAGGTAACAGGCAATACAGTACCTCAGGGACTGGATGTGCAGAAGAAACTGCAGCTGGCAAAACTATGCTGTGTGAAATATCTCTTTGTCTCCAGAAAAAGAAATTTCTTCTTTGTTGACTACTTGACTGGTTGAGTAAGAAGACATGATTGAGTGGTGAAAAGAAAATTCTATGACAACCTATAAGCAAAAATAAGACATATTTTAAATAAAAAAAAGAAAAAGAACAAACTAACACTGTGCTATGCTTGAAGGTGCTGTGTTGTTGTCTATTAAATCATCAGTCTAATCCTTTACTGACTCAAA